GGTCTTGACTATGCTACCACTCAGTGGATTTGTAACTGGCTGACTGACCGAACCCAAAGGGTGCTCATCAATGGTTCCTCTTCATCCTGGAGAAGAGTGACTAGTGGGGTGCCACAGGGTTCTGTCTTGGGCCCGGTCTTATTCAACATCTTTATCAACGACTTGGGTGATGGACTCAAGGGCATCCTGATCAAATTTGCAGATGACACCAAATTGGGAGGGTGGCTAACACCCCAGAGGACAGGATCACACTTCAAAACGACCTTGACAGATTAGAGAACTGGGCAAAAACAAACAAGATGAATTTTAACAGGGAGAAATGTAAAGTATTGCACTTGGGCAAAAAAATGAGAGGCACAAATACAAGATGGGGGACACCTGGCTTGAGAGCAGTACATGTGAAAAGGATCTAGGAGTCTTGGTTGACCACAAACTTCACATGAGCCAACAGTGTGACGCGGCAGCTAAAAAGCCAATGCAATTCTGGGCTGCATCAATAGGAGTATAGCATCTAGATCAAGGGAAGTAATAGTGCCACTGTATTCTGCTCTGGTCAGACCTCACCTGGAGTACTGTGTCCAGTTCTGGGCACCACACTTCAAGAAGGACATTGACAAACTGGAACGTGTCCAGAGGAGGGCAACCAAAATGGTCAAAGGCCTGGAAACGATGCCTTATGAGGAACGGCTAAGAGAGCTGGGCATGTTTAGCCTGGAGAAGAGGAGGTTAAGGGGTGATATGATAGCCATGTTCAAATATATAAAAGGATGTCACATAGAGGAGGGAGAAAGGTTGTTTTCTGCTGCTCCAGAGAAGCGGACACGGAGCAATGGATCCAAACTACAAGAAAGAAGATTCCACCTAAACATTAGGAAGAACTTCCTGACAGTAAGAGCTGTTCGACAGTGGAATTTGCTGCCAAGGAGTGTGGTGGAGTCTCCTTCTTTGGAGGTCTTTAAGCAGAGGCTTGACAACCATATGTCAGGAGTGCTCTGATGGTGTTTCCTGCTTGGCAGGGGGTTGGACTCGATGGCCCTTGTGGTCTCTTCCAACTCTATGATTCTATGATTCTATGATTCTATGACCCGAACCTCCCTTTTAAAAGCTCTGAGAATCTTCCCTTTAGCTGCAGGAAGAATCATGGAATTGCAGAATTTCCAATGGAGGAAAAAAACTGAATAATATTATAATTGTAAAATACCTAACTGTGAAGATACATAGAATGCAAGGGTTTAAGGTCAGTGAGAAAGAGGAGGATTGCTTTGAGAAGCTATTGAATTATTTGGGTAGGTTTGAACAATTTGGGGCAATTAAAATGTTAAATAAACCTTGTGGAGGGAGGAGTGTTAAGGTATATAGACGTGTACATATGGTTGATGTGAACATGTTATTATTAAATATTATTGAATAATTATATTATTGAATATGTATATTATTGAAACTTCTTCCTGAAGTTTAGAGGCCCATTGTTTTTGTTTATCGTTATGGTATGTATTCTTGTGTTTTTATATTGTAAAGTGGCCTGTGATCCTTGGATGAAGGGCAGCCTAGAAATTTAATAATAATAATAATAATAATAATAATAATAATAGGATCTGGAAACCAAGCCTTAGGCCTAGAAAAGAGGAGACTGAGAGATCTGACAGCCATCTTCAAATATCTGAAGGGCTGTCACATGGAATAAGAAGAAGAATAAGAATTTATTATTTATACCCTGCCCATCTGGCTGGGTTTTCCCAGCCACTCTGGGTGGCTTCCAACAGAATATTAAAATATAACAATCTATTAAACATTAAAAGCTTCCCTAAACAGGAAGACGGAGCATGCTTGTTTTCTCCTGCTGTGGAGAGTAGGACTCGAACCCAAGGCTTCAAGTTTCAAGAAAGGAGATTCCGGCTAAATATACGGGGGGAAATGGTGAGAGCCGTTTGACAGTGGAACCGTGGACTCCCTTGGGAACTGGCGGACTCTCTTTCGTTTGATATTTCTAAACAGTTGGATGGTTGGACCTCATGACCCTTAGGGGTTCCAGGGGGTCAGACTAGATGAGCCTTGAGGAACCCCTTTAAAGTTTATTCCTTTTCATTTATTTCCTTAGTGCCTGCCCGCCCCGCCCCCGCTTTGTGCAGTAGTTATCTTTATGATATGATACAATAATCTTTATTGTCACTGTCCCATACAGAACAACAAAATTGAAAAATCTACATTGTAAAATATTCAAAACCCAACAAGCCTACTATCCCAGCTATCCCAGCCTGGTTAGCCCCCTAAAAACTCTTATACCCAATTTTTAAATACAATATACTCCCATAGAGTCTACCTTACACTCCGTTTAAAACCAAAATCGCATTTGGATAGAAACTCCTTCTCAGGCGGCTAGTCCTAGTCTTTATAACCCTGTCCCTTCTTCCAGAAGGCAGAAGCTGAAAGAGATCATTTCCGGGGTGCGCACTATCCTGCGCTATCTCTGCAGCTTTCTTATGACACCTGGAAACGTAGATTTGATCCAAGGTGGGAAGAGTGCGCCCAATTATTCTCTCCGCAGTCTTTACAACCCCGGACAGCCTTGTTTTTCCCCTGACCGTGCAGCTCCCAAACCACACACACAGACCATAAGTTAATACACTCTCCACAGTACAATGGTAAAATGCCGTCAACAGGTCCTTTGAGAGATGGTTTTTCTGGAGGATTCTCAGAAAATATAACCTCTGCAGAGGTTATCTTTGTTTTCTACGAAGCCATTCCAGCAACTTGACTTGTTTATCTTTTTTCTTCTGTGTTTTCTTGTATTGCATTACGATCTCCTGGTGCCGTTGCCCTCCTGAAGTTATAAGAATGATAATAATATGCCCCAAACCAGAAGCAAGTCAGACATTCTTAAATTCTGCGGTGTCTTTCAGCTCTTTGGCTTTGGAGTTAAGAGACTCAGCCGGAGCGATGGATGATCTCTCCTGGTCAGCGGGTGTTTAAGCCACAGGGAAGCCTGGTGTCCTATTCGGTGCACGCTCCTTTGAGAACTGGAGACTTTGGGTCCTGTGGAACTCTCTGCCACTAGATTCAGCAGCACTGTTTCAACTTTGAAATGCCTGCTGAAAACTTGACCAGGCCTATGCCAGGCAATGAAGAATACTTTCCACAAGGGTTAACTGGTGCCTGTTTTTTACTTTATGCATATGTGTGTCTTTACTGTATGGTTTTCCTAGAATTGTAGCGTTGGGAGGAGACCCAACAGGTCATCTAGCTCAACCCCCTGCGATGCAGGAAGGCTTACACAGAGCGTCAAGTCAGGGATGAGCCATAAATAACACTGATGACTTCTTGCACGCCTGAAAAAACAAGACAGCGCAGAGTATCAAAACATCAAATTTAGAAGAATGCTAAATTGCTGTAGTCAGGCGGAGGGGAAGAACAACATCAGCAGCAATCTGCCTGCAGGCTTACAAGCTAAATAAACTGGCCCTGGATGGAAAGAGGGAGAATTGGGGACACCAGAGAGGAGACAAACTGGATCAAAACACAGTGGTACCTTGGTTCTGAAACGCCTTGGTACTCAAACAACTTGGAACCCAAACACTACAAACCCGGAAGTAAGTGTTCCGGTTTGCGGATTTTTTTCGGAAGCCGAACGTGCTCCATTTTGAGCGCCACACCTCTGTTTTGAGAGGTACGCTGAGGTCTGTCTGTTTTTGCTATTTATTTTGTGTTTGTTTCTGTGGCTCTTTTTGTGGAACCCAGTTCAGCTATTGATTGATTGATTGATTGATTGTGTGATCGCAGTACATTGTTCATTGCTTTCAGTTTATGGATCAACGGTCTCATCAGATAGTAAAATTCATGTTAAATTGCTGTTTTTTAAGGGGTTGTTTTTAAAAGTCAGGAACAGATTAATCTGTTTATGGGAAAGTGCGCCTTGGTTTTGGAACGCGCTTTGGTTTTGGAACGGACTTCCGGAATGGATGAAGTTTGAGAACCAAGGTACGGCTATATCTCCATTAGCAGAAAGATAAGAAGCTGTCTTGTGAAGGAAGTTTCAGGACAGACAAAAGAAAAGTTCTTTTTCGCACAATGCAGAATGTGAACTATGGAACTCCCTGCCACAGGAGGACACCAGTCTAGGTGGCTTTAAAAGAGGATTAGACCTCCAGTACGCGGGTGGCGCTGTGGTCTAAACCACAGAGCCTAGGGCAGCTTCGAGAACACTGTCCCACCATCTCATCCTCCATCATCCCCTTCTCCTTGGGCCCTCCATCTTTCCCAGCATCAGGGTCTTTTCCAGGGAGTCTTCTCTTCTCAAGATGTGGCCAAAGTCTTGGAGCCTCAGCTTCAGGATCTGTCCTTCCAGTGAGCACTCAGGGCTGATTTCCTTCAGAATGGAGAGGTTTGATCTTCTTGCAGTCCATGGGACTCTCAAGAGTCTCCTCCAGCACCAGAATTCAAACGCCTCAATTCTTAAAGCCATCAGTCTTCTTTATGATCCAGCTTTCACTTAAATACATCACTACTGGGAAAACCATAGCTATAACTATACGGACCTTTGTGGGCAAGATGATGTCTCTGCTTTTTAAGATGCTGTCTAGGTTTGTCATTGCTTTTCTCCCAAGAAGCAGGCGTCTTTTAATTTCTGGACTGCTGTCACCATCTGCAGTGATCATGGAGCCCAAGAAAGTAAAACCTCTCACTGCCTCCATTTCTTCCCCTTCTATTTGCCAGGAGGTGATGGGCCCAGTGGCCATGATCTTTTCCCTTTTCTTGCGAGGCATCCTATTCGGAATAAGGGAATTTCCCTTTTTTAAAAAAGGGAAAAGTTCACAGCTATGTGACTCAGGGGTAGACTGCGCCCGGCCTTGGAGGCTCGCCCTTCCTGCCGCCGCAGGTCTAGATCCCGCCCCAAGCCGAGGATCGCTCTGCGCCTTGCTTTCCCTCCGCGCGGGATTTGCACCCGAACCGCGCAAGATGCTCAGCCGAATCAACCTGCCCTTGGCCGTCGCCACTGCGCCTGCGCGCTCTCGCCACCCACCGACACCTCCATATCGAAGCCCTTTCGGGAGCAGGAAAGAGGCGGGGGGCGTGGCTTCCCGACCCGGGCCCCGCCCCTTTCGAATCCTGCAACATTGTAGCCGCTCACGCGGAGGCTCCCGGCTTCCCCCCTCCCCCGGTAGGAACGAAACGGCGGTGGGGGGGGGAGGAAAAGGGGGGGGTGTACTCTGGGAGGGGGGAGCCCCCAAAAGAAGATCACCCAATGTCTCATTTATTTATTTTAAATTGGGCGGCGGGGGAGGTGTCCCTATAGGACTCTGGATTGGGGGGGGGATTCCAGCAGGGGTTTTTTTGGGGGGGGGGGTGATCAGGAATTCCTATGGGGGGAAGTCCCAGGAGGCCTGTAAGCCCCCCCTAAAAAAAACCTGGGTCGTCTTCTTATCATGCGATTTCACGTAATTTTGTTTCCAAATGCCCCCCCCCCATGGAAAACGTTTATTTAGAGGTCCTACTTTTTGGGGGGGTGATCAGGCATTCCTCAGGGGGGGAGTCCCAGGAGGCCTGTAAGCCCCCCCCAAAAAAAACCCTGGATCGTCTTATCATGTGATTTCACGTAATTTTGTTTCCAAATGCGCCCCCCCCCCCCATGGAAAACGTTTATTTAGAGGTCGTGCTTTTCTGCAAGGCGCCTGGCTCTCCAAAATGCCCCCCTCCCGTTAATGGAGACACTATTGGGAATTAAGACCCCAATTATTATTATTATTATTATTATTATCATCATTATTAATCTTGCACCGATTTATCAGTGTGTGTGTCTTTTTGCAAATCCGTTTCTGTGGTTTCCCCATCTCTCTTCCCCCATCGCTTCCTCTCCTCTCTCTCCACCTTGAAAGCTCTTTCTAAAAGCACCCCCCCTTCCCCAGATCGCTGACACCTCCCTCTAGGATCCAGGGAACCCCTCCATGGCCCACCTGTTTGAAGAAGATCGAAAAAAAGGTTTTCTGGGAGCAGACTGAGGGGTGAGTACCTCCCAGGTGGAATACCAGTAGCAAAGGCATCCAGGAATTCCCAATTTCTCAGGTGGATCTGCAGAACCCCAAGGGGTTTGCAGGGGAAGAGAAAACCCAGCAGTGTTCGGGTCTGGAATTCTGCTGGTGGGTGGCGGCAGACTCTGCACGTGCTCAGAGGTACCCTTGTTTTTGCATATTTATTTATTTGGCGGCAGGCACGGTTTTCGCTGCTCTCCGTTTTATCCTCACGACAACCCTGTGAAGTAGGTTGGGCCGAGAGGATGGCCCAAGGTCATCTTTGGAGGGATTTGAATTCTAGTCTTCCTGGTCCTATTCTGACACGCTAAACCCAGATGGGATTACTTACTGGGTGCTAAGAGGCATGGCGGGCTGGTCTCAGGGGATCAAGTTCATCAGCTTTGTTCAGTTGAACTAAATGGCTCCAACAGGACTGGAATAAATATGCAATTAATTTGGATTTTATTGTTATCTGCCTTAGTGGGTCAAGCAAGCCACTGTTCTGAATAATGCTTTTTTGTAGGGTAGGGGGGCACTGGGGATGACCGGAAAAGTCTGCGACCAGAAGGAGGAGGAGTATCAGGAAGAATGGATGAAATTTAAAGACTATTTAGCTAAATATGTCAAGATAACTTAATTGGAAAATTTTGCAAATAATAGATAGGCTTAGGATTTAAATATGTAAGGATAAGACTTAAGATGTTTAAAGCTAAATTAAAAAGAATGAAAGATGTTAAGTCATCAAGGTAATTTTTTGAGAAAATCAATTTGGGAAAACTGTTAAAATGATATAGAATGAAATTCATCCAAGGGGATTTGAGGAAGTCACTTAATAATGTTACCAAGATTTAAACAGGATGTATGTATGTTTGTTTGTCTGTATGTTTGTTTGTTTTGAATTTTTGAAAATTAATAAAAAAAATTGGAAAAAAACAAAAAAAAAGTTTGGTAACTACTGCTCTAACCACTGCACCACATTGCCTCTCTTGCATGTGGGAATCTAGAGATCAGATGCTTCCCAGTCCTTCTAATGATGCCTGGGGGGAGCAGAAAATAATTTAATCTCGTGCCAGGAAAAAGTTGAATGGATGTTATTGGAAGAAGCTGCTTGAGCAATAATTAGGAAATCTAAGCTTCAGTCATAATTAGGGTTTTCTTTTCCCCCGGACCGTCTCCCTCGCTCCCTAAGCAGGATCCATGCTGGGCTCGGTCGTGGTTCACCCTGAAGCCCCAGACGGAGGCTGGGGGTGGATTATCGTCCTCTCGGCCTTCCTCCAATCCGCGTTGGTCTTTGGCGTGATCCGTTCCTTCGGCGTCTTCTTTGTGGAGTTTGTGACGTACTTTGATGAGCTTTCCGGGCGGATCTCCTGGATCACCTCGATTGGGATCGCGGTGCAACAGTTTGCGAGTGAGTGGAATGGCGGCGGGTGTGTTTGTTTGTGGGACACGTGCTATGGGCTGCCTGCCTGCGCTCGGCGCGAAATCCTTGCCCCACGTGCGCTGGGAAACCGCCTTCCGCGTCCTTCCTCGCCATTGGCCGGGGTGCTGTGACGTCACGGAAGCGCTCGCGAACATTCTGCAGCTCAGGCAGAAGGACTGAAAGATCAGAAACTGGTCCTAATATATCTATTAAAAATAAATATTATAATAATTAATACATGGTGCTATGGGGGGGGGTCTGCTCCATATTTCTGAATTGCAATGGGGTTGGGCCAGATGACCCTTTGGGTCCCACTCCTTCCAACCCTGCAATTCTGTGATTCTAATAGCCCATAGCAGCGCCGGGTGCGAATTCCTGTTCAGAACTGGGGAAGGAAGATTCTGCTCCTTGCATCAGCAATGCAGTGACCGGCATCCCTTTCTCTTCCTTGGCAGGTCCGGTGGGCAGCGCTTTGAGCTCTCGCTATGGGGCCCGCCCTGTCATCATGGCCGGCGGGTTTTTCTCGGGCCTGGGCTTCCTGCTGGCCTCCTTTGCCACCTGCCTGGCTCACCTGTACCTCTGCATCGGACTCCTCTCAGGTGCGTCGAAACTGCGTGACCTGCATTGCTATCGTTTGCAAGAAACCAATCTTTCAGTGTGGACTTTGGAACTCCTTGCCTCTTGACACCAGGCAAGGTCCCTTCAAAGTGCTCTTTTCGGCACCTGCTAAAAACACCTCCAGCGGTGCAATGGGTCTCTGGCTGTTAACCTTGAGCCCACCCAAGGGGCAGGATTCCTGCATTGTAGGGGGTTGGACTAGATGACCCTCAGGGGTCCCTTCCATCTCTACATTTGTATGAGTCTTGCTTAGGCAAGGCCTGTCCCCGATGCTTACAAAGCCGATGCAATTTTTAATCTTTTTTTTTAGCATTTTTTCCAACTTTTCAAAAGTCCTTCATTTTTCCTATTGATAAATTTATTGTTTTATCACTTTTGCAAACCACCTTGGGGTCTTTAAATGACCAAACAGCATCTAAATGTCATGAAATAACAAATAATCAACGTACAAATCTGCTTGCCCCCCCAAACTATCCACTCTTGTGGTGGTTTTACCCTGACTCTGCAACTGCAATGTGTTAGTTTTCCATCTTTTTTCTTGACAGGCATAATTATTATTTTTTGGCTTCCAAGATCTCAATATATTTATTTGGCGGTCCTTTTTTTTTTAGCAAAGGCTGCGGTAACAGAGAGATGAGGGGAGGAGAGCGTTGGTGGGAGAGAGCCAGTCTTTGAAGAAAATGGCCGCCATTTTTTAAAGGCAGCCTCCTCTGAGCCAATGCCCTCCAGATGTTGCGAACCACAGCAGATACCCTCCAGATGTTTCGGTCCAAAATGTTTCGGTCCGAAACATCTGGAGGGCACCAGCCCAGAGAAGGAGAAGCCATATATCCAAGGGGATACTTGGATATCTGAGGAAGAAGCAAAGTCAGGCTCTAGTTCAAGATGGCTGCCGTTCCCCTGAGGAAATAGCCATGATACACAATGGGTTATTTGTTCATTTTAGATTTATGCGTTGGTTTTGCAAACTCCTTTTTTCTCTTCCAGTTTTTTTCATTAATTTTCCAAATTTATAACAAACAGATAAGAAAAAGAAAATCCAAACAAACAAACAAACAAACAGTTATCCTGATTATAATAATTCCACTTTTGTTAACATTGTTAGGTGACTTCCTCGAATCCCCCTGGCTGAGTTTCCATATAAATCATTGCAATAGTTTTCCAAAACTATTTCCCCATAAAATTTACTTGGTCAATGAACATCTTACTTTCTTTTCATTTTTAACTTTAACGTAATATTTTGCACATCACATTTTCAAATCCTAGGCCTGTTTGGTACTCGCAAGTAATTCTAATTATATTATCTTAAGATATTTAGCTAAATAGTCTTTGAATTTCTTCCACTCCTCTTGGTGCTCATCCTCCCTCTGGTCACAGATTTTTCCGGCTAGCTCCGAAAAGTCCATCATCTTCATCTGCCATTCCTCCACCGTTGGGACTTCTTGTAATTTCCAATTTTTGGCCAGCAAAATTCTAGCAGCTGTTGTGGCATACAAAAACATATTTTCTGAGTAATTCCAAACCTATTATTCCAAGTAGAAAGGCTTCTGGTTTCTTAATAAATGTATATTTCAACGTTTTTTCCCAATTCATTGTATATCTTTTCCCAGAAGTCTTGCACCTTGGGGCAGCTCCACCACATATGATAAAAAGTACCTTCTTTTTCTTTACATTTCCAACATAGGTTATCGGTCTTATGGTAAATCTTTGCTAATTTTACAGGGGTTAAGTACCATCGATACATCATTTTCATAATGTTTTCTTTTAATGCAGTACATGCAGTGAACTTAACCCCTTTCCTCCACAACCTTTCCCAGTCTTCAGACATTATATTATGTCCAACATCTCTTGCCCAATCTATCATCACAGATTTAATTTGTTCGTCCTTTGTATGCCGCTCCAACATGGTTTTGCAAACTTCAGCAAACACGGACATGGTATAAGTTAAAATTCCTGAGGGCGGCTAACTGAGGGAAGGGTTAGGCCTCATTTTAGCTTAATGGTTGCCATCAATTTGATTTTAATTGGGAATCTGGTGCTAAGCTAGACAGTCGCCATTTTGTCTTGATCCCGGCAGCCATTTTTGGCCTGATCCTTGTGTTCTTTGGGGGATCTCCGTGCCTCCCTTTCTGCGTTTCGTTCTGGTCGCCTCGCCTCAGAAAGGGTATCGAGTCGAGTTGGGGAAAGGAAGGGTCCAGAAATGTTTATAGAAAAGATGGAGATTGCAGCTAGAGAAAAGCCTTTTTCCTCTGTTGATCTCTCTTTTTTTCTTTTTTTTTAAATAATAATATTTATTCCAAGTTTAAAGTTACAAAAAGAAAAAGGAACAATACAAAATACAAAAAAGAATATAGCAATAACAGAGAGAGAAGAGAAAAAAAAGAGAGAGAGAAAAAAAGAAGGTATAAAAATACATTCAATTGAAATAGAACAAGAACAGATTAAACCTTTACATAACTTTTTTCCTTTCCTTATTTCCTTGACCTCCTCTCACCTCCCAATTTTGTATTCTAGTTCAGATCGTTTTTCAGCAAATCCTTCCAACCTTATTTTCATTTACGTAGTTTAATTTAAAGTATTATAATTTAACATCCTCTCTTTCATCAGTTTCATCAACTCATTTTTGCTTAATCCTTTATATCATATCTACCAAAACTACCTAATTTTCTTTTTCCAACATCTTTCTAATAGTCTTTAATATTACAATATTTTTGAAGATATACTTTAAATTTTTTCCAATCTTCTTCCACCGACTCTTCTCCTTGGTCCCGGATTCTGCCAGTCATCTCAGCCAATTCCATATAGTCCATCACTTTCGTCTGCCATTCTTCTCGGGTGGGTAATTCTTGTGTCTTCCAATACTTTCCGATGAGTATTCTTGCTGCTGTTGTGGCATACATAAAAAAGGTTCTATCCTCCCTTCGCACCAATTGGCCGACCATGCCCAGAAGGAAGGCCTCTGGTTTCTTCTGGAAGGTATATTTAAATACCTTTTTCATTTCATTATAAATCATCTCCCAGAAGGCCTTAATCCTTGGGCATGTCCACCAAAGGTGAAAGAATGTGCCCTCAATCGCTTTACATTTCCAACATTTATTATCGGGCAAATGATAAATTTTTGCCAGCTTTTTCCTCTGTTGATCTCAGGGCAGTTCAATAAAAAAAGAAAAACACAAAATGCACGATAAAAACAAGGACAGGAAACACAAGCCAACAAACCTCCCACAAACGTGTTTTAAAAAGGGTATCATATGTTAACCAGCCCAAGGCCTCGTTGAAGAGGGAATGTTTTTGCCTGGTGCCCAAAGGTGTATAATGAAGGCGCCAGGCGAGCCTCGCTGAGAGGAGCATCCCACGAACAGGGAGCCACCACCGAAAAGGCCTGTTGTCGTGTTGCCACCCTCCTGTGAAAGAGGCACACAAAGATGGGCCGTGGGTGCGGATCTCAGGGTCCGGGTCGGTTCGTAGGTCCTTGAGTTATTGGGGTAGTTCCCTTGGGGAGGGCACGAGGCTCTTCATCTCAGGGCTGCAGGTTCGAGTCCCATGCTGGGCAAAACGATTCCCGGGTTGCGCTAGATGACCCTCGGGGGTCCCTTCCAACTCTGCGATTCCATTTTAAAGCTCCGCAGGCACAAAACCAGCACTTTGGGACGCTCTTGTTTCTACAACTAATCCAGAAAGCGGCAGCTAGACTGGTGACTGGGATTGGCCACCGAGACCATTTAACACCGGTCTTGAAAGACCTACACTGGCTCCCAGTATGTTTCCGAGCACAATTCAAAGTGTTGGTGCTGACCTTGAAAGCCCAAAACGGCCTCAAAGGCCCAGTAGACCTGAAGGAGCGTCTCCACCTCCATCGTCCAGCCCGGACACCTGGGTCCCTCCCAAGGGCCTTCTGGCGGTTCCTCCTGCGAGGCCAAGTTTCAGGGAAACAGGCAGAGGGCGCCCGCCCTGTGGAATGCACTCCCAACAGATGTCAAAGAGAAAAATAACTACCAAACTTTTAGAAGACATCTGAAGGCAGCCCTGTTTAGGGAAGCCTTTAATGTTTAATAGGTTATTGTATTTTAGTGTTTCGTTGGAAGCCGCCCAGAGTGGCTGGGGAAACCCAGCCAGATGGGTGGGGTACGAATATTATTATTCTGAATATTATTATTATTATCTTGGCAGGTTTCGGCTGGGCCTTGGTCTTCACGCCCTCCCTGGCGTCGGTCGCCCGGTACTTCAAGCGCCGCCGGACGCTGGCCACCAGCCTGGCCTTGACGGGCGTGGGCCTCTCGTCCTTCGCCTTCTCGCCGCTCTTCCAGTTCCTGGTGGACACCTACGCCTGGCGAGGGGCCCTCCTCATCGTGGCGGGCATGTCCTTCAACCTGGTGGTCTGTGGGGCCCTCATCCGCCCCATCACCCTCAAGGAAGACCTGCCCGGTCCGGCGGGCCGCGGCGCGAGAGGGACGTGCTGGGCGCGATTCTCCTCCCTCTTCGGCCTCCACCTCCTCGGCCACTTTGCCTTCATGAGGTTCGTCCTGGCCGTCACCCTGGTCAACACGGGCTACTTCGTCCCCTACGTCCACCTGGTGGCCCGCGCCAGGGAACTGGGCTTTGATGAGTACCAGGCAGCCTTCCTCATGTCGCTGGCGGCCGTGGCCGACCTGTTTGGCCGCCTCTTCTCCGGCTGGCTGGCCAACTGCCGCGGCTGCCGCCTGGCCCGCATCCTGGTGGCCTGGACCTTCCTGACCGGCGTGGCCTTGGTGGCCGTCCCGTGGGGCCGCGACTACCCGCTTCTGGTGGCCATTAGCCTCTGCTACGGGTTCTGCTCGGGGGCCCTGACGCCCGTCGTCTTCTCCATTATCCCAGAGATCGTGGGCATCGCCAACATCTTCAGCTCCATGGGGCTACTGCAGATGATCGAGAGCATTGGGGGGGCTGCTGGGGGCGCCCCTTTCTGGTAGGTGGTGCCATTTATCACATTTACTTGCCCACCGCGTAGGCGGTTTGAATCCCCGCGACGGAGTGAGCTCCCGTTGCTCAGTCCCTGCTCCTGCCCACCTAGCAGTTCGAAAGCACACCAGCGCAAGTAGATAAATAAGTACCGCTCTGGCGGGAAGGTAAACGGCGTTTCCGTGCGCTGCTCTGCCACGTGCGCAGTCGGCCATGACTGGACATAATGGTCAGGGGTCCCTTTACCTTTACCTTACCACTGTAATTAAAAAAAAAGGATGCAGAATCGTAGAATTGTAGCAGTTGGAAGGGACTACGAGGGTCATCTAGTCCAACCCGCTGCAATTCAGGAATCTATCCAAGAGGCCTGATCCAGGCAGGGCACCTTTCCATGTTCCTAGCGCAGCAGCACCCCCTTTCTGAAGTGAGCATCCGCAATGGGCATTCCCGGTGTCTAGCTGTCAACTTTTCCCTTTTCTTGCGAGGAATCCTATTCGGAATAAGGGTATTTCCCTTTAAAAAAGGGAAGCGTTGACAGCTATGGCCCAAGGTCTCCCAGTGAGCTTCATGGCTGAGTGGGGATTTGAACGCCGGCCTCTCCCAGGTCCTATTCTGACACTCGCAACCACTGCACATGGCTCTGATCCTGGCCTGCATTTTCCTCCCGTATTAATAATAAATTTTATTTATATCCCGCCTTCCCCAGCCGGGCTCAGGGTGGCTAACAACAATAAAACAGTACAGAAGTACAGCACAAACAACACTCTAAAATCATTCATTATAAAATTAATTAATTCAAGCCACTGGAAGCCATTGGGCCAGAGCTCCGCGAAGATTGCTGAGGGAGGGAGTCAGGCTGCGCCCTGGCCAAAGGCCTGGTGGAACAGCTCTGTCTTGCAGGCCCTGCGGAAAGATGTCAAGTCCCGCAGGGCCCTGGTCTCTTGGGACAGAGTGTTCCGCCAGATCGGGGCCACAGCCGAAAAGCCCTGGCTCTAGTTGAGGCCAGCCTAACTTCTCTGTGGCCTGGGACCTTCAAGATGTTTTTATTTGAAGACCGTAAGTTTCTCTGTGGGGCATACCAGGAGAGGCGGTCCCGTAGGTACGAGGGTCCTAGGCCGTATAGGGCTTTAAAGGTTAAAACCAGCACCTTAAACCTGATCCTGTACTCCACCGGGAGCCAGTGCAGCTGGTATAGCACCGGGTGAATGTGATCTCGCAGCGAGGACCCCGTAAGGAGTCTTGCTGCAGCATTCTGCACCCGCTGGAGTTTCTGGGTCAGTCTCAAGGGCAGCCCCACGTAGAGCGAGTTACAATAATCCAGTCTGGAGGTGACCGTCGCGTGGATCACAGTGGCTAGGTCAGGGCGAGAGAGGTAAGGAGCCAACTGCTTAGCTTGGCGGAGATGGAAAAATGCCGCCTTTGTTGTAGCTGCAATCTGCGCCTCCATGGAAAGGGAGGTGTCGAAGATTACACCCAAACTCTTAACGGACGGTGCTGGCACTAATTGCGCCCCCGCAAGAGATGGGAGTTGCCCCCCCCCAATCCCATATCGTCCCGTCCCAGCCACAGGACCTCTGTCTTCGAAGGATTTAGCTTCAACCAGCTCCCACGTAACCATCCAGCCACAGCTTCCAAACATCTGGTCAGTGTGTCTGGGGCCGAGTCAGGATGGCCATCCATCAACAGATAGAGTTGGGTGTCATCAGCATACTGATGGCAACCCAGCCCAAAACTCCGGACAAGCTGGGCGAGGGGGCGCATAAAGATGTTGAAAAGCATCGGGGAGAGTATCGCACCCTGAGGTACTCCACACACCAAGGAGTGGCGCGATGACAATTCCCCCCCAAGCGCCACCCTCTGTCCCCGACCAGAGAGAAACGAGCGCAGCCATTGAAGGACTGTGCCCTGGATCCCCACGTCGGCAAGGCGGTGGTCCAGAAGTTCGTGATCGACCATGTCGAAAGCTGCTGACAGATCTAGAAGAATCAGCAGCCCCGACCCACCTCGATCCAGCTGTCTACGAAGATCATCTGTTAGGGCGACCAGAGCCGTCTCGGTCCGGAAGCCGGACTGGAATGGATCCAGAGCCGATGTTTCATCCAGAAACCCACCAAGCTGTTCAGCAACCGCTCTCTCAATCACCTTACCCAGGAACGGAAGATTCGAAACCGGGCGGTAATTGGATAGATCTAAAGGATCTAATGATGTTTTCTTTAAGAGCGGGCGCACCACTGCCTCCTTCAGTTCCCCTGGGAATGTCCCCGTGCCAAGGGACAAATTGATAATATCCCTAGGAGGGCCCGCACCTCGTCTGGACACGCTCTAATCAGCCAAGACGGGCACGGGTCGAGAGGACAGGTGGTGGGCTTTCCAGCTCGGAGGAGTCTGTCCACATCGGCTGGGGATATCCGGTTGAAGTGGTCCAATACTGGACCCGAGGACAGTCGAGGGGCCTCCAGTTCCTTTATTGTATCCAAATTGGCAGGGAGGTCATGGCGGAGCAACAAGACCTTCTCCGCCAACACGCTCGCACATGCCACACCGCTGTGTGTCAAATTGTTATTTAAATTTGGCTGTCCCTCAAGGGACGTTAAAGACCTGATTATACTAAATAATTGCGCCGGGCGAGAGCTAGCGGATGCAATGGAGGCCGAGAAGTAAGACTTCTTAGCAGCCTTCACCGCCATCTCGTAGGTTTTCATAAAAGCCCTATAAGATGTTCTTGAGGCTCCGTCACGGGCACCCCGCCATACTCGCTCTAGCCGTCTGAGGTCCCGCTTCATTTTCCGGAGCTCCTCGGTAAACCAGGGAGCCCGGTTTCTGCGGGGTCGCAGAGGGCGCTTAGGTGCGATCTCATCGATGGCTGCCAGGAGCTGGATATTCCAGCCCTCAACAAGCTCAGTCAATGAGTCACCAGGGGGAGCAAGGTCCCGCAAGGCTTGGCGGAATCTATCAGGGTCCATCAGCCTCTGTGGGCGAGCCCAAATCGGCTCGCCACCTAAGCAGGGTGGGGGTGGAAAGTCAATCCTGGCTTTCAGAGCGTAGTGATCAGACCATGGCACCTTCATCGAAGGAGACATGATCACATCTATACCTACGCCAAAGATCAAATCCAGCGTGTGGCCTGCTTGATGTGTGGGGCCCGAAACAAACTGGGAGAGCCCTAGTGTCGCCATGGAAGACACCAGGTCCAGAGCCTGTGAGGAGGGAGTGGCATCAGCATGGATGTTGAAGTCCCCCAATACCAATAGGTTAGGGAACTCCAAGGCCCAGCCGGCCACCGCCTCCAGCAGGCCTGACAGGGTGGCTGCTGGTGCGCTAGGTGGCCGGTACACCAGCCAGACAGCCAAGCTCTCCTCGGAGCCCCACACTAGGCCAACACATTCAATGCCGGGGATCGATGGCGATGGTAGAGCCCTGAAAGGACAATCTTCCCGGATTAATAATGCCACCCCTCCCCCCCGGCCCACAGTCTGCGACTGGTGGAGGACAGAGAAACCCGGGGGCGCCATCTCTCGTAAGGTCACTGTTGCCCCATCGCGCACCCAGGTCTCCGTCACACAAGCCAGGTCGACCCCCTGCGAGATAAAGAAATCTCGCAGGGTGGCGGTTTTGTTGCCTATAGACCTGGCATTGCACAGCACCAGTGACGGAGGTGAGTAATCCTTGCTCACCCTACCCTCGTCCCTCGGGATGAGGCGCAGATTGGAAGGGGTACGAGCATATCCATATCTCGATCCCCTTCGCCTATAACATCTGCCCCCACCGCCATACCTCCCTCGCCCCTCCACGGTAGCAATCCCAAGCCTCATAGTAGCCTCCATTGATGGCAATTAATGTTATTCTTTCGCAGCCTAAAACAATAAAACCTTAAAACAATAAAAACAAAAAACAAAAACAACCCAGAGAACAATAAAACAATACAAATAAAAATCGCAAAAATTACAAATTCATCAAAAGCTAACAAATTCCCAAGCCCACCCAAACATCCATCCCACCCCCATATATAAAAATCTAAAGGGAAAGGGAGATTTTAAAACATGTTAAACTGGCACATGTTAAACTGTTCTGGCACATAAATGAGCCTTTTAAGGTAAAGGTAAAGGGACCCCTGACCATTAGGTCCAGTCGTGGCTGACTCTGGGGTTGTGGCGCTCATCTCGCCCTATAGGCCGAGGAAGCCGGCGTACAGCTTCCAGTCATGTGGCCAGCATGACTAAGCCGCTTCTGGCGAACCAGAGCAGCGCACGGAAACGGCGTTTACCTTCCCACCGAAGCGGTACCTATTTATCTACTTGCACTTTGACGTGCTTTCGAACTGCTAGGTTGGCAGGAGCAGGGACCGAGCCACAGCAGCTCACCCCATCGCAGGGATTCGAACCGCCGACCTTCTGATCGGCAAGTCCTAGGCTCTGTGGTTTAACCCACAGCGCCACCCGCGTCCCTTAAATGAGCCTTTTAGCTCCTCACAAATATTTGGTTCCATGCCGGGCCGTTATATAAAGCAGGTTTGCAGCTTCCGGAATTGGAACTGGGTTAAGAGGTGTGTGTGGCTGAACATGTTCCAAATAAATTTTTGTCTCCGCAGGGAGGCGAAGCGGGTTTCCTACGCAGTTGCGTTTGGTTCCCAGCTCAAGGAGCGAGATAGGAACACAGGAATGGCCCTCTGTCAGGGGGTCCGCTTACCTCAGTGGGGCCTGTGCCAGCAGGTAGCCAACACGGTTCCATCCAGGTGCCGTCGTACTACAACTCCCATCATCCACGAGAAATCAGCTCAGCTGACTCAGGATGATGGGAGCTGTAGTCCAACAACGTCTAGGTGGGGGGCACCGGGGCTGAAGAACTTTGTAATAGAGCAGCCTTTCCCAAACTTGAGTCCCCAGATGTCATTGGACTACAGCTCCCATCATCCTTGACCGCTGGTCATGCTGGCGAGGAATGATGGGAGTTGTAGTCCAACAACATCTGGGGACCCACAGGTTGAGAAACACTGCTCTAAACAGCCCTTTCTGGGCAAAGTGATGGCACTGCCAGTTATTATGTTCTAGGTGTGTCTTGAGGCTTATGTTCTAGGTGTGTCTTGAGGGTTATGTTCTAGACCGCCCTTCCCCAATCTCCTACCCTTCAGGTGTTTGGGACCTCATCTCTTCCCGTCTGTGGCCACTGACCCAGGCTGACAGGAACTACAGTGCAAAACATCTGGAGGACACTACTGGTCATGCTGGCTAGGTGTGATGGGAGTTGTAGTCCAACAACATCTGGGGAACCACAGGTTGAGAAGCACTGCTCTAAACTACCTCTAAACAGCCCTTTCTGGACAAGGAAGCCAAGTAAATAATCTCCCTACCACTGCTAGGTCCACACCTGCATCAGAAGTGACGGCACTGCCAGTTATTATGTTCTAGGTGTGTCTTGAGGGTTATGTTCTAGACTGCCCTTCCCCAATCTCATACCCTTCAGGGGTTTGGGACCTCATCTCTTCCCGTCTGTGACCACTGGCTGGGGCTGACAGGAACTACAGTGCAAAACATCTGGAGGGCACTAGGTTGAGACAGACTGTTCTAGGTTGTTCCAGGTCGCTCTTCCTTTCTCTTCCAGGTTGGCTGAGGGACGCAACAGGGGACTACGTTGCTTCTTTCTTAGTGGCCGGGTCGTTCATGTTCGCCGGAAGCCTCGTCCTGATGACTCTGCCCAACTTCTCCAGCTGCCTTGCCCCGCCGTCTGTGCCAGAACCCAGTGCCAAGATGGAAGCTGGCGAGGGTACTGTCTTGGCATCAGCAACTCCTGTGGGGGTCCTCTCTCCCCACGACTGCCACCCTTACAAGGTCATGCCTGAGACAGAGGAGCCGCTGACCAAGAGCTGATCACCCAAGGCCAGCCTTTCCCAGCCAGGTGTTGCTAGACTACAATGCCCATCATCCTTGACTGTTGGCTAAGCTGGCTGTGGATGGTGGGAGTTGTAGTCCAACATCTGTGTGGTGGGCAAAGGTTAAAGAACAAGAATGGGGAACCTGAGGCCCTCCATACCTTGCTATACTACAACTCCCATCATCCCTGGCTGTTAACTGTGGATGATGGGCGTTGTAGTCCAACAATACCCAGAGGAGCACATTGGCTACTCCAGGACTAGAGAGAATAACCTTGTTGGGACCAGCGTGGGGTGAGAAGGTTTGGGTGGCATCTTCAAACCATGCATTTAAAGCAAAAAGTAATAATCCTGGGAGTTGTAGTTTGTTAAGGGCGCTGGGAACTGTAGTTCCATGTGGTGTGCAGATGCGTCCTTGAAGAGGAGCTGGTTTTCTTGTTGTGGAAGCTGGTATTTCCCTTGCCTGTGCCTTAACTAACGCACCACCGTTCCTCTGAGCCGCCCGCAGAGGTTGGACCACGTGCGTGAAAACAGACTCGCTCCAGCAACCGAACGTGGAGGCAGACTTTGGACCGCCGGTTTCCCCAGAGGAATGCCTTCTGTAAACTTTTACGAAGCTCCTCATCGATGCCCATGCAAGTGACTCAGTACCCCCAGGAAAAGACCCTCGTAGCATTTGAACATTCCAGGACGCTCGTAGGGGAGGGACTTCAGTATCCCATAACCCGGTCAATTCGCAGACCTCTGAAATAGTAAACGCCGACCCCTTAACACCCTCCGTTTGGCTAGCAGAGCCGCCGTCTCTCGTAGCACCCGCCCCTCTCCCTTCACGCAATCGTGGGGTCAATTTTGCAACTTTCCGCAAGGGAGGACGGATCAGAGCGTCCATTGTAAACTCTGAAATGTGACTCCTTCCCCACCCGGTTCAATTTAGGATTAAAAACGTGACGTTTTGACGGAACTGTTTTCTGCAGTCTGCGGCCGTATTTGTTCTTAATTTATTAATTTGGTCATTCCGGCAGTTTGTGAAAATAAAATCCACAGCGAAAATGGCATGAGCTGTTCATCTGATCACCTCTTGCGAGGAGGGGGTGGCTAATCTTTGGGGGGCTTTCCAGATGTTCTCAAACTCTCACCTGTGGCCACATGTTGGGGGGTCAGGGTCCAACATCTGGAGGGTCTGCAAGTTAGCCACCCACTGTTATAAGTGTTTGCGGGGAGTGGGGTTAGTGAATCACCCTTGAGCCCTTTCATTTTGTTTGGGAAACATACCGTATTTTTCGCTCTATAAGACGCACCAGACCACAAGACGCACCTAGTTTTTGGAGGAGGAAAACAAGAAAAAAAATATTCTGAATCTCAGAAGCCAGAACAGCAAGACGGATCGCAGCGCAGTGAAAGCAGCCATCCCTCTTGCTGTTCTGGCTTCTGGGATAGCTGCACAGCCTGCATTCGCTCCATAAGACGCACACACATTTCCCCTTACTTTTTAGAAGGGAAAAAGTGAGTCATATAGAGCAAAAAATACGGTAGTTCGGGAAATGAAGCATTTGATTCCGAATCTGGCGCCTTCTGGTGGTTGCAAACCACAAATCCCATTAGCCCTTGCCCATTGCAGCTATCTAAAACATCAGGTTGGCAAAGAAAAAATAGGCTACTATTTCATTTAAAAATAACAAAGTGGTTTACAACACAAATGCATTGCAGCATAGCTGTCAACTTTTCCCTTTCCTTGCGAGGAATCCTATTCGGTATAAGGGAATTTCCCTTAAAAAAAGGGGAAAGTTGGCAGCTATGAATTGCAGGGGGTTGGGCTAGATGACCGTTGGGTCCCCTCCCGACGCTACAATTCTAGGAAGACCATACAGCAAAGACACATATATGTATAAAGTAAAAAAACAGGCACCAGTTAACCCTTGTGGAAGCCGTATTCTTCATTGCCTGCGTAGGCCTGGTCAAATTTTCAGCAGGCATTTAAAAGTTGAAACAGTGCTGCTGAATCTAGTGGCAGAGAGTTCCACAGGACCCAAAGTCTCCATTCAGTTCTCAAAGGAGCATCGCCAATATTTTTCTGAATAGGTAGAGTTTGGAGAGTCTCAAAAGGGTCCCCCAGCCAATCCCAGCAATGCGAACAACATCTTTTGCTGCTTTTTGGCTGAAAATACGTATGTTGAAAACAGCTGGAGGGCACCGGGTTCCCTACCTCTGCTCTAGAGAGCTGGAAGAGGGAAGGCAAGGATGATCTCAGGCAAGTTCGGCAAGCAGCTGACCTCGAAGCCACCTGGTGGACTTTGAGGCCTTCGGGTGTGCTGGGCCCCTCTCCACGGGCCAGAATCTCACCCTTTGGAACTTGTTTTCCCCCTCTGCAATAAAATCATTATCCTTTAAGCCGGAAAGCTTGCAGCCGGCGGCGAGGGGAGAGGAATTGGGCTGGCTCAACACTTTCACCCATAGGTTTCCCAGTCCTAAATTCGCATGGAAAACAAACGAGAGGAAAAAGGGACAGGAAGCAAAATAAAAAATAAAAAATTAAGGCAGTTATTTACTTATTGCATTTATATCCCACCTTTTGTGGGAGCTCAAGGTGGCAGGGACGTGGTTCTCCCCCAGCCCCTTCATTTATTCCGCACAACGACCCTGTAAGGCAGACCAGGCTGAGAGCATAAAGGCGCCCAGGGAGCTTCATGGGGAATTTAAACCCTGGTCCCCCAGGTTCCACTCTAACCACTGCACCGCACTGGCTAGGCAGTGAATGAGCCCAATGGGACTCTCAGAATGGTACAGTTGGAAGGGACCCCCAAAGGCCTTCCAGCCCACCCCCACCCCGGCAAGGCAGGAACCACTGGTAAGTGGGTAAAGGTAAAGTCATGTGGCCAGGATGACTAAGCTGCTTCTGCGAAACCAGAGCAGCGCACGGAAACGCCGTTTACCTTCCCGCCGGAGTGGTACCTATTTATCTACTTGCACTTCATGCTTTCGAACTGCTAGGTTGGCAGGAGAAGGGACCGAGCAACGGGAGCTCACCCCGTCGGGGGGATTCGAACTGCCGACCTTCTTCCACACGACCTTCCGCCGTGTTCCATTCTGGGCAACCTGCTGAGGGCCGGGTGCCAGCGGTGGGCATGGCCAGAGGTGAAAGTGGGTGGAGCAACTGGTGCAAATTTACCTTTGTGATGGAGGCTGGTTTTATGCATAGACAAATTCCAGTCTCCGTCCTCCGTATAGGCAGAAGGCAAGATCATAAGACACAACCCAGCCAGCTGAAAACATTTGAGGTGTGTGTGAAGCAACGGCTGTTGCCTGGGGGGAGGATTTTGAGGGCCAGAAAGAGCTGGAGGGCCACACTTGGCCGCCCGCCGCCCCGGACCTTAGGTTCATTCACTCTCTTGCAAACTCTCTCTTAAGTTTATTCGCTCTCTTGCAAGACTCAACTGATCTGTGGCTCTTTTTGCAAATTTTCCATGGGTGGTGCTGTGGGTTAAACCATAGAGCCTAGGACTTGCCGATCAGAAGGTCGGCGGTTCGAATACCCGCAGTGGGGTGAGCTCCCGTTGCTCGGTCCCTGCTCCTGCCAACCTAGCAGTTCGAAAGCACATTAAAGTGCAAGTAGATAAATAGGTACCGCTCTGGCGGGAAGGTAAACGGCGTTTCCGTGCGCTGCTCTAGTTCGCCAGAAGCGGCTTGGTCATGCTTGCCACATGACCCGGAAGCCGTAAGCCGGCTGCCTTGGCCAGTAAAGCGAAATGAGCGCCGCAACCCCAGAGTCAGCCATGACTGGACCTAATGGTCAGTGGTCCCTTTACCTTTACCTTTAACTTTCAAGTCGGCTGGCAACTGACCTCTTGCAAAGCTTACTTTTCATAGCTGCCTTGCTGACGACATCACTAATGGGGAAATGAACAGACACTCTGGTTCCTTGGCAAAATCTGCAGGCCAGGCCTGGCGACCACGACCCTAAGATTTCTTTTGGGGGGTGGCAAACACCATCCCAAAATGGGAGAGAGGGTGTTAAAGCCGGGATTCTGGGAAGCTGAGGACCGCCTTGCCACAACACGGCTTAGGTCACTGTGCTTTTTAGACCCTAAAAGGCTGACGCACATACTTTGGACAAAAGATATCTTTAGTCCAATCTTCAGCGGCAGAGTATAATTACCCATGTCCTCGACTGACTCACTATCCTCCGTTCCTCTGAACGGAAAGATAGCTGCACCGCTCTCTGGCGAAGGACGATACTGGTTATTTCAGCCCCACGGCTCACACTTTGCTGCCTCTAGCTAACTGTGTTTAGATAAGATAATTTATTACGGTCGGAGACCAGCTTATGAAACACACTTGGGGTTATAGTCACAGAAGTAAAACAGACAATTAAAACAATGTACAGCAATAAATTTAGAAACAATGTACAACAATAAACTATCCCAGGGAGTTGGCTCAGAGTCACCCATGGAACCGAGTTTGGGGATTTTCATGCCGGACTATTTTGAGTTGGGCGATGGTCTGCGCCTACAGATCTGTACACAGAATCTGGCGACCATCCAGGTCATCTTCTGATCTTTGCCTAACAGGAAAAGGTCAAATTTTTGCTTTTGCGGGAGGTCAGTGAGCGTCACCAGTGGGGATCAATGATCTTACTACGTGCCTCTTCATAAAAGGGACATCTAAAGAACAGGTGTTCTGGGCTTCCTATCTCTCCCAATGGACAGGTGCAAAGTCTCTGAGCATACAGGACTTTTCTAGAGGTAACTGTGTTTTTATTAAATTGGAATACCACCTTTCATCCGTGGTGAAAAGACAAAATAAAAAGGCAACGAACAAGCGAACAAACCAATAACCTGCCCCCCCTGCACTCTAAACCATATTTAAAAGGACATTCCCGCATTTCAGAATGACTCTCAGGGTCCCTTCTTAAAATTCTATGATTCTATGATAGAATTAATCCGCCAGAGGCCTGGCTGAAGAGGAATGTGTATCATGTATTCTGTAAAGCGTTCAGATAAAACAGCTGTTGGTGGTGAAATCTGGTGCCCTGCTGTCAACTTTCCAAGTTTCTAGACCTCAAGGGGACAGGACCTGAGGAGTCCTGAAGTTAGCCCATGAAGCTGACACGCCTGATTCAGACGATTCAGACTATGGCCTCCTAGGTGAACGTTTCCTCGATGCTGCTTCCTGGGATATTTGAAAGTCAAAGATGACGCCGGAATTGGCGTTTTCATTCTCAAACAGCAGCTGCAGAGATGCAGTTAATTCACACACACAACTGCGCAGAGGAAAAAAACATGGACATTTTGGACTGCAATTCCCATCATTTGCCCCCCGCCTCATGCACAATAATACCCAGATTCTCAACATTTTTTTAATAAAAGCGCAAGTTTTTAGCTTCTGTAGAACCTGAGAAATAAGGCAAAATCTGCAGGTACTATTTTCAGGGGTTGTTTTTCTGCTGAGAAATGGGGCTGCTCCATCTTTTCAGTGTTTTATTCACTTCCCCCTCTCCTGGAAACAACAACAACAACAACAATTTATTATTTAGTTGTTTTTCTCTTTGACATCTTGTGGGAGGGCGTTCCACAGGGCGGATGCCACTACCGAGAAGGCCCTCTGCCTGGTTCCCTGTAACTTGGCTTCTCGCAGTGAAGGAACCGCCAGAAGGCCCTCGGAGCTGGACCTCAGTGTCCGGGCAGAACGATGGGGGTGGAGACGCTCCTTCAGGTCTACTGGGCCTTTGAGGCCATTTAGGGCTTTCAAGGTCAGCACCAACACTGAATTGTGCTCGGAAACGTACTGGGAGCCAATGTAGGTCCTTATGTGGTCTCGGCGGCCACTTCCAGTGACCAGTCTGGCTGCCGCATTCTGGATTAGTTGTAGTTTCCGGGTCACCTTCAAAGGGAGCCCCACGTAGAGCGCATTGCAGTAGTCCAGGCGGGAGATAACCAGAGCATGCACCACTCTGGCAGGAAAAATTCCTGCAGCTGCCATCCATTCGTGAAGACAGCCATCTAAAAAAATACCCAAAGGGCTGTCGCGAGGAAGATGGAGCAAGCTTGTTTTCTCCTGC